TTGAAGCTGACTTGGTTCATTCTGTATGGCCCCAGCTTTTGCGTCAAGAAAATACTGAAAGGCGAAGAACTAACGCCAACAATATTAAGATGGCGAAGCATTTTCGCTCCTTTCTGTTCATGTGGTTTGAAAACAGTTTGAAGACGCAATGCCGCAACGCATCAAGAGTCAATCATACCTCGTTGTGAGCGCTACTGCCACTGAAAGCCGAGCCGGCGGAGGCCAAGGTTCCACTAAGAGCAAGCAGCACGATAGGCACGATCCCCATCGTCCCTGCCGCCATTGTCTTCATCGTTGTGGTCCTCCTGCATTAAAGCAGGCAGGGGGCAGAGAACGGTCCAGAACGAACACTTAAGAAAAGTCCTTGTGTCACTAGAAACAGAAGGAAAAGAGAAAAAGTGGACGCGTCGCCATCACAAGGCAAGCGTGAGGACACTAGTCTGGATGGCGACAGAATGTCGTGTTGAAACTTGAACATTCAAAACCGTCGGAACCATTTGGACTTACTTACCGTCCGCAACACGTTACAGACTTCCGCACTCCCCTTTGGTCGGGCTACTATGTCGGACGGAATGTCCAACGGAGGTGGTTCAAGATGTATTTTCTCCAGGCAACACAGCTGGCCAAAGCACGGAGGTGGCAGTGGTATCTTGGGGACGGGGCGGGAGAGGTGGCAAGTAAGAAAAAGGCGGCGTCTTTCGTCATTGCCATGCTGGATCCTTCGAGGCGGTATTTCTTGACGCGCCAACGAGAGCAGTGACGGGGGTGTGCATGGAAATGAGGGTGTATTGGAGGTACGAGCTGCCAACGGAGGTACTGGATGAGGATGAGGCAGATGGAAGAGAGGGTATGCATCAATGCACCAGAAGTGATGACAATGGTGATGACGGCATATGTGATGGTGGGGGTAGGCCGAAGCGGATGGAGTAAGCGGTGATGTTGACGGCGGATATCGATACGCGACGTGCCATGGGTGAAAATGCGTGGTGGGGGGGAGAGGAACGCGAAGGTAGGGGCACCAATGAGGGTGACAGGAGCCCTGAAGACGGTCAGGGGGTGGTACTTCCAGGCGGGACATGTAACCGGTGCGGTGGGGTCTTTATTCACGCACGGAGAAGCGAGACCCCACTAGAACCGCGGGCCGTTGGCGGGCCGCAGCGGCTTTGCATTTCAATGGCGTACCGCCATGATGTATTTTAACAAAAAACGCGTTTAGTCTATTGTACGTGTCACCGTAGTCAGCTTGATTTCGGCTTCTTGAAAAAATTGTCGGGCGAGACCCAGGCTGAATGAATGAACACTTTGAATATTTTTTTCCTGAGACCCTGGATACTCCCGGCCAGAGTATGGGTGACGAAAGGACTCGTCGACCCTGGGACATTCTGCAGGATGTGGGTGGCGAGCGATATGAAGCGAAACAAAGATTGGACGGAGAGTAGCGCTGGCAAGGGGAGTCACCCTCCTCGGAAGTGAAAGTGAAGGGGCTCACCAACCCCATGACTTACTTTTCTAGGAGCCGAAACCAAACCATTAGACTGGCTTCAGAGGTTTGATTTCGGCTTCTAGAAAGTTAGTCGCAAACAAAAATGGACCCCCCAAAGGAGAGCGGAGAAAAACGACCCTGCATCGTGGCGGATGGATGTGGTAGTCACCATCGTAATTACCGTTTTCCGTGGCGACGAGGCATGTTGCCATGTACGGGATAATGACCTCGACCCTTCTTGACAACGGTAGGGACGATAGCACATGGTGGCCCAGAACAACATTCGTTTGCTCAGATATCCAACCATAATTTCGATCATCCCACTGATACATGCTGGAGAAGTGGAGAAGTGGGGTGTAGAGGGATAGACTATGATGAGAAGATGTTGGGCGGCGGGTACAGAATTTATTTGTGTTTGTGGATTTGTGGTGGTGCCGATAGTTAGAAGTTCACAACAGCACTCATTATTTTGGTGTGTGTGCAACTTTATTTTAATAAGGAAAAAAATAGTCCAAATGGATATCGATTGCCCAAATGAACATCGATTAGATGTGCAGTCCATATATATTCCATACACGCTGCTCTATTGCGTCGTGCATCAAGAAGTATGTGTATGGTGCATTCAAGACAAGATGAGCAGGGTTGGTCAAGGAATACGTCGTTTAGGCACCTATCTATGCGAGTACACAGGATATATAGGATCCTGTGTGGATGTGATGTATACGTGTGTACGGTAAAATATTGGTACGCCCTGTTTCCGTGTTGGCTCTTGGTTGATGGCTGGGGTATCACGTTAGCAACACAATACGCAGGGTGCATGCGCTTGAAAGTGAGGCGTTGGTCTGTTTTAGTATCATCAGTGGTATCTGTTCAAAGTTCAAAGAGGGGTCGAGTTTTCTCAGGCTGAAAAAGGCGTGGATGCGGGGACCGATTGGTGGGTTGAACACCAGAACAAAAGAACAGTTGCTGTTCCACGTACGTACGTCGAGAAATAATCCCTCCACTATAGACATTAATCGGTTGAACAGTTCATCCGTTAGTACTTTATCGTTCGGCCGGTATTTTTCTCTCTACCCAACGTTCGCCGGGTGCGCGTGAAAGAAGTGGGGCGGGCGTGTTTCGACTCGCCTCCGTTTTGTGTTCGTGCGTGGAGGTAGATTGTTCGGATTGTGCCGATTCTGGCGGTTTCGTATCTCGCGGATGGGAATGACCTTCAGGGACGAGGAGGTACTTTGGGATACAAATTGCGCCCCCCCCTTCGACTGGTTTTGGCCTGCCTGACACTCCTCCACTCCTCGTTTCGCCTACTCTTCCTCGCTGATGTCGCCCCTACAATTTATGTATTACATGCGGTTAACGACACTCACTCCTCCTTTGGACTCTGGGGGTCACACAACATGGACGCATAGATAGGCATATACACTTTGTTGTCAAGGACTATAATACTACAAACTGCAAACACGTAAAACATGAACATCATCTGCATACATACGCCGGTCGCCCCGGTGGTCTAGTTGGTAGCCTCGTAACCTTCTAGAGGTCAGGTCATGAGGTTTCTTGCAAAGGGAGTTTTTCTCTCGCTTCCGCTCCTGACCAAGTGTATAGCGCTAGTTCGTGTGTACACAAGAGGGAAGGGAGTGCTAAACTCTTCTCGCATTAAAAATTGAAGGCGAAGTACCGCAGGACGGGAGGCTCTTCTGTGTGACCACGGGTTGGAATATACGGCACTAGTGCTGTGAGCGCGCTGATTTTGAAGTGAAAAAAAAAAAAAAACTGGCTAACTGTTGCTGTGATATTTTATTGCGAAAGTGGTATGTAGACAACGCACGCATGTATCTTCTCGCAGAGGGAAGAAAACTGCAACTCTGTTTGTGTGGTCTAGAGAGACTATTTGCACGACGCGTACGAATAGTGTGCCGTCATGGAAAACCGTCGACCCCACTTTGCAGTACAGAACGGGCCCGAAAAGCTCAAACGTTTACAAAAAATAAAAAGAGGGCTAAGAAACTCAACTCAATCCCGGCCACGAGATAGGCGATGATACTCGAGACACAAGAAAAAACGGATAGCTGAGGAAGCGTGCCCAATAAGAAACGTCCTATAATACTGCTGCTGCTGCCGCCACCTCCCGCTCATCATTTTAATATTTTGTTAGGGGGAAAGCGTGGATATTTCGCGTCGCCCCCCGCGCCGCCGCGGGCAGCGCTACCCTCTGCTGTTGTTGTACGTACTGCTGTAATGGCACAAATATCGGGAGGAAGGTCAGGAGAGCCAACCCCATAATCAACGTTGATGTTTGCCACCACCGAGCTGTCGGTTTAAAATGCTCCGTATAAAGGCTTGGTGTGTTGTTGGTTTCTTCGCCAGAAATAAAGAAAATAGGAAAATGTGATAACCAGGATGATGCGACAGCCCAAAGGCATTAAGAAATCCGTTTTAAGAAATTGGCCAACTTTGGTGGGTCCTTCGGGCGAAATTAAGAAATTGAGGCTCGACCCGAATATGACGTTTGTTTCTTATCTCCGGGCCCGTTCGGTAAGAAACCGAACGATACTGCTGTGCCTCCTCTCGCCTCCTCTGTCCATCCTTTGTGCCGCACCCGCGCCCAGGTCTTGTTTATAAATAGAGACATTTTCAGTCGGTAGGGAACGCGCTTTTCCCTGAAGTTATTCGTAAAATTGTGAAAAAAATAGCCCAGAGCACCTACAAACCGAGGCGTGCAGGGCTGGCTGCACCTACCCAAGGAATGTTCCAAGATATGGTCTTCCGACATGGAGACCACTGCTTTCGACCAAGTCGTCAGCACTGTTGTTGTACAAACCCGGGTGGTCTGACGTACTTGGGTAGGGTACTCCGCATACGAAACTTTTGTAATCGGAAATTGAGTAAATAACGCATCGAACGCATCGCGTTAAAAACTTTTCAATGAAGTCATATGCATATATATATATGAATGATGAGCGGAAAGAATTGCCGCCGCATACACCGTTATCTGCTCGAGCTGCATATGGCGCATAACACCAACACACGTCAACACGCGAGCATATGCAGTTATGCAGGTGGTAGGCCACGTACACCTGTTCATACGGGGCTCGTATATTTGAAAGCCCGGAGCACCTACAAACTAAACCTGGGTGGTCTGTGCTATTTGTGTAGGTTCAAATACTACGTACAATATAGGAAACTTTTTTTGTAAACGGAATTTGAGTAAATAGTAAATAAGGCACCGCGTTGACCTACTTTCAATAAAGTTATTGTGATAGCAACTCGACGAGTATCATCATCGCGTTGCCTGTCTGAAGCTTTCCTGTTTTGTAGCGGTTGGTAAAGTCGACGGTGCACACCGCGACACGTGCTCGCCTACCGAGCACGACAAAGAGTTCTGTAGGCATAAGATATCACACCCACTCCCTGAACAGTTTTTAATTTTCAAAGCTCGATTACTCCACAGCAGAAAGCGTGGCCGGGCGGCGTTGGCACCGATAGCTTACTTTCCGAAACCAAAATAATCGTTTGACATCCTCGTCGTCGTGGACTAACATTATTAGCTGTGCATATTGATGATGCGATACATTTTATGCCACCTACTGCGGGTACATGCCATGAATAAGAACAAGGAGCACCCTCAATACTCCAGTAAGTTATTGTACTGTAGTAGTTGAATTTAAACGTTTCATTACCCATCCATGAAGAAGTCGTTTTTGTACACCAATACTTCATCAGTGCTGCATAGTGCTGCAAAAACTATCCGTGGACGGACCCCGCAGTTCTTCTGTCTGTTGTCTCCATAATTAATTACAAAAAAAACG